TTTCACTCGCGTCTCTTCCGAGGCACAGGCAGCGCCCAGGGAGTAGGCAACCCAAATGGCGTCCGTGGGCGGGTGGACGCAGACGTCCTCCAGCGGAGGGTGGTGCAGCACATGAAAGCGTAAAACTGTAAATGCAATCGCAGTTTAAGTTTTTACCACTTAGGGATCGCCAGAAATCCAACTCGTTTTTCTCAGGTTCATTCAGCAAATTACTTACGGAAGCTCGTCGCCTCTGCTGTCGCCACTAGATAGGCCACCCATGCAGCGTGCATGCACAGCAGACGAGCCGTTGCCCACCTGTCCAGGCACTATAAGAGCTTGAAAAGGGCATAAGCTGAACTTGGCAGGTTTTTTACGTCGTTTTCTGTGAATGTCATTACACTAATGTCAGCACTCATCCCATGTTTCCACGAAATATAGTTTCTCCGTCTTCAAAATACTAGGTGAACCAGGTGTATCAGAGCGGACGCTGCAGTGTTGCTGGTTTGTCTTCTCCCTCCACCGCAAGAGTTTTACAAGACACATCAGGCTTGTAGGTTTATTAAGTAGTGCAGGATTAACAAGCCCCTGGCCACCTCTGGCTGCTGGTGATGACTCGTACTCCACGACGTGCCCAGCTGCACCTCGCTTCTGACAGTCAGAGGCAACGTATCTCACAGAGAAGGCCAGGTCAGTTACATCTTCCTCCTGACCGCGGTGTCGTAAGAAACGGAACCCGCTGTGCGATGATGCACACCAGAAATTACAGGGCGCGGTAAAACTGGAACCTAAACAATCGAGCAGGTTAGGCGAGTCAAACGAAATAAGCAAGGAAATTTAAAAGACAAACGGCATTTCTAAAATTTAAAACAGTGTTAAAACTTCAACAAAACCAAAACTGAAACTTGAGCAATGAGCCACATGATGCACTACAAATTACGGCTGACAACCGCGACGGTATTCCACCTAGGGTCTTTCCCAGTGGCGAGGTTTAAATCCTTTAGGCCGCCTGCAATATTGACTTTTATCATAAAGGAATAACAATGAATGTGTTCCTATCCGGCCTTTCTTTGAATGGGGTATTTATTTTTTTACCTAATACTGATACTTAATTAATTTCTTCCAAAAAATAAAGATGAATCCAAAGTAATTAGGCTGTCGAGACAAATGAATCCCGAAAGTGTGGGAGACTTTAACGCCAGGTGCGACGAGAGCGCTGGTAGGGCGACCGTGCGCTTCCTTCACGTTCGCTCGCCTCCACCCACCATCCCGGTCCCAGCACCGCTAGATCAGTGCGACCGCAGGCTCCCGCCACAAACTGACCCACGGACTGTACTCCACACCTCTTCACATTGCATCATGCTGAGTGTCAGAAGAGCCCAAAATTTGGCACAGGGGTGAAACCTGATAATAACGACTATAATAGAAAAAGCACAATAGTCACGATTTTAAAAAGTATAAATATCTACAGGTTTGTACATGTTTTGTTGTTATAATAGTGCAAAAATGTTGTAATGTACCCTCGGTTTTAAAATAAATCAGTATTAATAGCTGCAATTATAAATTTACCCCTGGTAGGGATCGAATTTCCGTCGGGGAAAGTTCCGGGAAGCTCTGAAGAAAAACCTGTTGTCAGTATTCTATCTCCGTTGTGGACACCATGCGGGCATTGGTCTGTCTAGCGTCTGTGGGATTCGGATGATCTCTTCACTGAGAGAAGGCGTTCAAGGTACTGCAAAACGTTTGGGCCAGGAGACCATGCCAATTTCTGGAAAATAAACGCTTAAGTTCGGGTAAACATAAAATTGTGCAAACCTAAACAAACGTTCTAGTGAGCTTGAGGGACCACGCTCTTGCGTCAGTGTTTGCGGGAATATGGCGAGGAGG